TGCCGATATTGATCCGTTTCTTCCAGGTAATATTTGGATTGCTCAAGAGGTATTCACGTAAATCACCCAACTCTGCACATTCCAAAATAAATACTTGGGATCCGTCAGGTACTAAATAATATAATAAAGATTAATTGCTTATTAAATAGCGCGATAATATACGAGTAATAGCTTATGTTTTAATGTAAAAACTTACAACGACTAAATACGTCAAAATGTGTACATGAGAATAGTATATTAATACTGTATATCCGCATTAATTTTAATTAGATAACTTATTGTTTTAAGGTTTATTAACAATACCTTATCCCGTAAATTCTGATAATGTTCTCGTGAGTTCTTATCGAGGAGAAAGTTCTAAGCTACGAGTTTCTTCCGTACATTAATTGTTCATCATTTTAAAAGAATAAAACACGCACAAAACATTATATACCTCTCTAGCAACTTCTATTGCATCTGAATCATTAGCAATTTTTAAAATTACTGGTGTTTCGTTGTCTCCATTTTTTAGTATGGCTTTCTGAACTTTGCATGTATTGCCATTGGTCACGTGATCTAAAATAATGACCTAACAATTATACGTTAGTTGATATATGTATTAGAACGACTTTCAAAAAAAAAAAAAACTTTCAAATAAATTTATTTTATATTTACCAGAGGACTATCGAACATTAAAAACAAACGACCCGACATTCAAATAACTGTAATCTAAATACTTTATTCTTATGAGATTATTTGATTTGATTTGATTTGATTTTTTTTTTTTTCGTTCAAAATAGGCTTTTATACATTTTTTTTCAAAGGTGCGTTTGATGTATTTGTACATAACATTGTTAACATTGTTTTGTGGAACTGTCTCACTTCTCACTTTTCTTGTTTTAGACTAGTCCGTCATTTACTGTCATCACTTATTCTCACTTCTCACTTGTTTTAGACTAGTCCGTCATTTACTGTCATCACTTATTCTCACTTTAGGCTAGTCTGTCACTCATTCTCACTTTAGGCTAGTCTCCCGTGATACACTGCAAAAATGCCCCGCACTGACCAACATGAAAATCATTTGTATATGATATTTCCCTTGTCCTGTCATTTGTATATGCAATGTTACCAAACAGCACATTGCATTTACTATCACTTTCTTGTGATACATTAATCTCACCCGCGTTGACTTTTTAAAAGAAATTAGATTGAAAATATGCAATTTCAAATTCTTTTTTTTTGTCTTAAACAATCGTTAATAAATCAAAATTTTAATCATTATAGACTATTAATATAAAAATGAAGTTTT